CACAAAATAAAATTGGTGAGGACGAGTGGAACAAAACTAGAGCCAAAGGCACTAAAAATAGGTTGCTTCCCGGATTCGACCCAATATCCTCTCACTCAGATGGGGTCCCTCAAAATAGAATAGAGAAAAATACAGATCTGGTTTAATACGCTTGTTTGCTCAGTATCGGCGAAGATGTTGCCATTGGGCATTATCATAATTTTGTTTGTCGTCGATCGTCGAAACCAGGTTTCGGTGATCGACGCAGGGTCGCTGATATTTGGTTTCAGACGCTGTTGGACGCGTACGACTTCGGGAGCTGAGTGTAAATTGATTTGCGCGACTAACAGTGCCTGCCATGGAAATCCCGCTGATTGCCGCAAAGCGAGGTGCAGATGCATCGCTCCCATGAGGCACGTTTGACACGGCTCGTATTGGTGGTCAGGTCGGACCATTACCGCTGTCGATTCAGGGGCTGGTGTCGTTCATCAGATTTTTGCAACTGTTTCGTCGAATGTTCATGTCGAAGTCAATGTCGAAACATTTCAAGGGTTCCTTCGAGTGTAGACGGCCAATATTTTTTTTATAAAGTCCTGCTTTCATTTTCCGATAAGACGTCGTAGCAAAACAACCCAACTTGCTGCGGTCTGTATAACTTAAACATCGCTGAGTAAGGCCAAAGCACTCCCACAGTGGCACGAAACTAGACTAAAGTCAACTATAGACATAAATAGCGTAGTTAAACGCTTGCAGCATGCAGGGTAAAAAAAGAAAAATCCAGGCAAACACGGAAACACTGCGGAGCTTTAAGAGTGTGACTAGCTCAGTCAGGTTCACTAAACTGGACATGTCACCGCACCTTTCGTTTTCTGTTTCGTTTACCTGTGAAACAGTTAGCAGAAGCCTTCTTCAAATTTTATTCGAGCTTCTATATGTAATGACTTACATGACATTGGCCAACAAAAGGATGGAAGACCAAATTCGCCGTTGGGGAGCATATTGAACATTGGGGTGGGGGGAGGTTGAGGGCCAGGTCAATTTTTGAGCTCGAACATCGCACACGCATTAACGCACGGAGAAAAGCACCAACAACGCGGACGGTTGGGTGCCCGCGGCGTGCCTCCAGGAATGCATCATTAAAGCGTTTAAACTGCGGCATAAGGTGGCGATGGTGGCGGCTGGTGCTGTAGCACAGGCTCGTTATTAATATGTTTTGTCCAGGGTCTGTTCTTTGTTCTTTTGGGAGGGATGCCCCCATTTAAGTATAATATCTTATGTACTAATCCTTCGTTTACATTTATGCTGTCGTGCCGCTTATCCCATCTTGAAATACAATAAGGTAAAACGAATGAATCGACCACTTGCCCTCAGAGGAGCGGAAACGAATCCCACTTGATCTCAGCCGCTATAACTAGAACCTGCCCCATCCCAGAAGCACCGTGCACCTGCTCTGTCTATCCCTCCATCTGTCTGCTGTCGCCGGAAGCGGCATCATTTTTTTCCAGTGCTAAGAAGCTATGGGAGCTTGCACGGTGGCATGCAAACATGCATGCATGTTAAGTTCCCTCCGAAAACGTGTACTCGTGCATGACTAGCGTGAATTAAACCGCAGCGTTCGAGGTGGGCTTGATGTAACCACCATCGGCATGAACATGAAGCACATTAAATCGCCGAACGTTGGCACACCGGGGCCTGGAATACCCTTCCGGACTCTCATTTCGGTCATCTGAAACTCGCCCAAGCGAACATGACCTCCCTGCAAACTCGAGGAGTTCAGCCAATAAACGAGCTCTCACGACTTCCTAAAACTGAAAAAGTTCGGGTAATATCCGGCAGCCAGCCAGATCCTTACCAACCTCCGCATGACCCGTTTTACCCGAAATGTTGATGAATCGCAAAGTTAGTAAGGCACATCATACTCAGGGGTGCCTGATTAGAAATCATGAAATGAGCGAGCTGCTATTGTTTGAGGCAGGATACGCTGATTGACTCATCCAAGAGATCATGACGTCAGTGGTTGAGTAGCACAGCCAATAAGCGAGTTCTCAGAGCTTCTTAAAGCTCGAAAAACTAATGGCGCGTGCGAGTTTGATGAGGTAGCTCTTGAGTTTGCAAGTGGGTTAGGGGGAGGGGAGGGGCACGTCTAAAGACGTGGGGAAATGCGACGTAGGAATTAGGATGGAAAGGAAGAAGAGATGAATAGAGGTGTAGATTCTTCCAGCAATCTCTTCCCAATGGCCCCCAATTAGCCAAAAAGTTTCCAACTCAAAGCTGCATCCATCATTGCCTTACACCTACCACAGACCACAGACCGCATGACTGCCACACGCTTCAAACTTGCAGCTAATTCTCAGAACATGTGAACATATGTCCCAATTAAGTGGTCGGCGGTAAGCCAGACCAAGGTGTTTGGTCTGAAGTAGCAAAAAAGCAAAGGAAAAAAGAAAGGTGAAGGTAAAAACTTTCCCGTCAGCCATTACATCAAACGCCCCGTCAGCACGCATGCTATCATGCATTCCAGCTAACAGTTGTGCTGACGGCAGATCGAACACGGTCCTGACGTGGTTAAATAGAAATTGCGGTGCAAAGCCAAATTCAGGCAAAAAGTTGTACGCCGCTCGCGAGACGCACGGAAATCGTCACTAACATTAAGCGACACTGTTTTACACGGGCTGCTTTGTCCCACATTCAAGGACAACAAAATGAATTGGAGAAGGTTGTGTAATTTAGTCAAGTGACCCGCAAACCCCGCAATGAATCCGTTAATGTAGCCGATGCTAACCGCCCCACATACAAATATGCATGCTTACCGTATACAGCGGCGCAATTACCAACACTAGAGCCCTCCTAACGAAACGTAGTGTTTGCTCCCGCCACCAGACAAAATCGCAACTGCTAAGCGGATAAACGATGTAATAAACTGAAAACATTGAACGCCGTAAGACATGCAAAGGTTTGAGACGTTAAATAAAAAAACTCCGGAATACGGGAATGAGCCAGACCCTTCATAAGTAACCCCGTATCCGTCGCCCACGACCAAAAACACTTGCCGTCGCCCAGGGCCGCCATAGGAGAGTGCCCTCGGCGCCCGAAGGGCTGCCTAGCTTAGAGGGGCGCTTTTCCTTTCCGATCAGAAAGAACACGTGCCTCTCCGGTAACCCCGCTCCCTCCCCTTCTAGATCCGCCCCTGCATGGCTACTTTGTTGCTTAACTTGAATGCTATCTTCATGACGTCACAACTTAACATATAACTTACCCTCCGTCCAAGAAGTCGGCTAAATCCGTTAAAAATTTGGGCGTGGGATAAGGCTGTCAGGCTCTCGGTTCGCCCCCCCCCCCCCACAAGTACTTACAAAACACTACAAACCTGATGTTGTCAAAAGGAAAGCTCTCATCTAAATTATCATCGCTACCAGTGATAGCACTAGGTACTCATGCGCTTTTTCATCGTGCCTTTAGCAAATATCGGAAAGTGCTATGATGATGCAATGCAAAAGAAAGATGCAATGACTCCAGCACCAACAAACAGGTTTGTTTAAGCTCCCAATAATTTAGCTTGAGTGGCTGTAAGAAAGATCCATATATCACTTTTTGAAAATTGTCTGCCTATGTCGAATGACAATAGTAAATGGAAGGATTCGCTCGGTTTTCGAAAACAAAATTTAAAAAATGGAACGATTTGAGCAAAAAGGGTCTAGAACTAAACATCGCTTTCGGCATGCAATGGTTTGATGACGATTTGGCGTGTCATAGGATAACTCCAGGTCCGGATTACCATATCATGAGATCAACACACAAATTGTGGATCGGCGAAGATAGCTAAGGCAGTTGACGTGTCCTTAAAACCCAATAATTAACTTGTGAATCACCAGCACCTTCAAGCCCCAGAAAGGCACGTGTGAATGTCCAACAGGCTTGTGAACCCAAACTCGTAGAAGATATCAGTTTGCGGCGTCATTGTCACTTGATCTAGGCTGCCTGAGTTTTTGGTCACCATAACCAGTCACCTACAGTCGCAAGGAATAGCATAAGAACATGGAGCAAGATCGGTAACCAAACAGTCCGTGGTGCATGTGCTGAGGCGAGCCACGCGAGTCACACTGCCGTGCTTCGCGCTGTGGCCTTCCCCAGCTTCTCACCAGCCGAAGAGTGTCGGTGCCGACCTTTGGTGGGGCCTGGGCCACATTAAACGAGAAGCTAATATGGTAATTCGCGTCAATCAACCGGGTTGTGTCGTTTGCTTTGGTTTTGTCGCCATCGGTCCACCGAGAACGGCGCAAAAAGACGTCTTCGCCTGAAAGATATCGTTACTGGCACTTGGCGGCTTTTGGGTCACAGGATACGTGACCCAGAAGTACGATGTTCTTGCCACTGACGTTAATCGACCATGGCGCTTCTAATGGTGTGCTTATTGTCGCGATCAGCTAATGGAGAGCGACGCGAACAAGTACTCAGTAGATAATGAGATGTCATAGCGTTTTCATATCACTGCTCCATCACTCACTCCCTTCAAACATGCCTAGTGCTGGGAACACGCCTTCACAATGGGCCTTATCTCGCCTACCCAATCACCCTCCCTCCACTGCCAGCTGTCCTAGATCCGTTCTATCTTCTCTTATACATCGCATTCAATTGGATGCACTTTTTTCGACGGTTTTCATCCGGACACAAAAATAAAGTGGCCTTAATCCGAAGGGATCCGAACTGAGGAGTAGGCTAATTCAACCCAATATTTGAGATCGATCACGATGTTGAGATGTCCGGACCCAAAATCGCTTTAAAAAGTCCCTGCCTTCCAACGCATCTGGCGAACGAGGCGTTATGTTGCCGCATCCAAGCCCCCCTCGCGCATGGAGCCCACGAGCGCCTGACGTCGGTGAGGCCAGCGCCGGACGGCGCGGCGAGCCCGAGTCAGCTGACTGTCTCGGGCGGCGATCAGCTGACGCCGCCACACGTGACGCCTGATCGGGCGACGGCCGCAGCTCGACTGCCAGTGGCCGCAGGTGGCTGGGCCGGTCGGTGGCGTCAGGTGCCGGTGCGAGAGCGTGGGCCGCGCGCGCGCCGAGCGCCGCTGCTCCTCGGCGTAGCCCGACTGAGGCAGGCATGGCGCGCGCGGACGGCGACGGGCGCGAATTGGAGATGGACGAGGAGGACCAGGACGAGGCGGCGCTGGGCTTCGAGCACACGCTGGTGAGTTCAGCACTCCCGACGCCGACGGCGCGAACCGTGACGGGTGTTTCGGAAAGGTAATAGAAGCGCCTGGCGGAGCAGTTCTCATTCTGGATAAAATGTCCCATACGCGCCCCCGCTATGCTGCCAAAAATGCGTGTGAACCTGGGAACACATGGCGTCACTTATAAAGAGTGCCGACATAATTTAGTTAGAGCTCAACTGCTCTGGTACACAATGTGCAGTCACATATACGTCATTATACATTTCCCACGCGTTGACAGTGCCAATGACAGTTACCTTACACCTGTGGGTGTAGCCACGTCCAGGGCGTAGTTTCAGAAAATGAGTTGGGGGGGGGGGGGGGAGGGGCTGAACAGTGAAACAATGACCTAACCATCCCCCAAAAATATGCCAACAAACGGGTTTTTTCTCCAGATTTAGCCTACTTTTGTCCCAAAGTTGGGGGAGGGCTGAAGCCCTCAGCTAAAAAGAAAACTAAACCCCTGGCCACGTCCCTGAGATGGGGGAAGGGGAAATCTTAGATTGGGAACTCAGACTGGACACAGTCTGGACACAGAAGTGGACACCCCGGCCCGCAAAATTATATTTGTAATGACTAAAACGCGAAAGAACATGGCCCTGTACGTGCAAAATTGCGGGTCAAAATTCATTGTGGAAATGTGAGGGAACATGTCCATCTGCACCCTCCCTAGGGGTTATACCTACGCACACACCGTACAGAGGCCAAATAGCCCCGTCTCAACTCGATTTACGTGTGGATCTAGTCTCGCTCCTCCTGAAAGTTACGGGACTCAGTGGAAAGCTGGCGGGGTGAGAGAGCGAGAGTGCCTGCCCCCTCCACTTGTGCAGTTGATCGTCCATTGATCTTCACTCTGCTGACGGATCACGAGGCGAGTGTGTAGCGCAGCCGGACTGATAGAGCCCCGGGCTTCGATGCTGCCACAGATAGCTATGAGGTCACCGGTAGCCGGATGGTTAACGAGCATTTTGACGAGTTCGTCTGTTGTCCCCGCACCGGGCCCGTGTCTTGACGGGGCGTCTGCCCGCAGCAGATCAGTCCGGCGTCAGCCCGCAGCAGATCAGTCCGGCGATAACCTGCTGATCGTCACCACCGCTGTTGTGGCGGTACCTCCCGCTTGGCTGGCGCCCCGCGGGGCTCAGCTCGGGCCGCCCTCCGCAGGCGGCTGGCGCACCGCTGCTGGACACTGCCGCCTCTATCGCGACCGTGCCGGAGGAAGGGAGGGGGGGGGGGGAGGCGTGCACTTCCTCCTCCTCTCGTCCGACCGCTGATCTCACGCGGTTACAGCGCGGCTGTGGATGTCAGTAGCGCGTTTGGCGAGTTTCGAGTCCGTTTTTGACGACGTGGCGCGAAAGGTGGCTGACCGATGGATCCACCCGCAGTTTGTGTCTTCTGTTGTTACGTTTACATCGTTGTTTGCTAGAACATCTACTGCCTTTTTAATCGAGACATACCGAACCGCGGGTAGCCACCCGGCAGGAAAATCGAAGAAACAGAGAAATGCCAGTCAAAATGACGCAAGCTAGTCAAAATGTCATTGATCAAAGGGAGCGTGCCACCTTCGGGGCATATTCCAAAAACACTCTGGCGAAACCTTGGGAACCATTTACGTTTAATAATAGCATTGGGCAGTGCGACTGCAACACCATCAAGATATAATAAGGAGATACATTTTAATTATCTTCAAGTCCAAATTACGCTGTCGATGCCTTGTGACAGCACTACGATTCTTCCTTTTGTGACGAAAAGCTGTCTGGGCCACCTGACTCCAGAGTATATCCCGAGCATGCTGCAACTTCAGCTGTCGCAACTGCTGTCGTCCTGGCGACGGCAGAATCCGCTGTGGGCCGTTGTCAGCTGTTACGGGTTAGATGTACCGCTTCTGAGCTCTTTCAACTCGCACCTTGAGGGCCTTCAGACTTAAGAGTTGCACCTCTTCTAGTTGGAATGATGTCAGCACAAAGTAACGTTTGTGATTGGCATAGCAGAAGGCAAAGGCCAGTTACTGAGTATTGATTTAAGTTTGAATCATTACGTCAGGATAGGCCGTGTGGTACCCCGCTTCCCAAAGCCAAAGTGCGCTTCGAAAAGAGCCTCTGCTAAACGCCATTAGGGAAGAAATCAAAGCCAAATTATAACGTTTCCTTGACTTTGCGGAACGATGAAGCAATATATGCACATCTTTTTCTCTAAAAAGATTGTTTCCAGCTTCTGTAACATTTATTATGCAGGCGCTTTAGGACATTGATGTGTTGGAAACATTAGGAATGCACCTTTGAAAAGGCAAGGCGAAGTACATGCATCAATTTCGTACGGTGAGCAAGTAATGCAATACGATTTCTTCCTCAGTAGGGGCTACCTCAAATAGAAATCCTGAGCTATTCAGACGGATTTGGAGAGAACTGGCATTGCCGACCAAATCGGACCCGTCTGATCGAACAACAGGCGAAAAACAGAACCAAGTGGTGCGCTCCCCGCCCCAGCTTCATACTTCAGCCCTTTGGGTTGAAGCATGAAGACGGACAACCTGTCAGGTGCTCTGCGCTCCGTGTTGCGGTGCACGTGACCACGCTGGAGACCCAGCGCACGGCCACTCGCGTCCTTGGTCTGACGTGACCGCGGACCTGTATCGCAGCCATCTTTTGGACAGCCCCGCACCTATTTACGGCTTGTGGTGGGGCTCCCACTTGCGGTCGGCAATTGCCATCATACCCGGCTATGTTATGGCACGCCCCTGTTTTCCGCCTCCGTCGCGCCCAAGTCCTTGAATGCTTTTCACTTTGAGAACATTTCAACACCCGGGAGCATCCCATACGTTCTCAGTTCACAAGTTGCGGTCACCGTCGCATGCAGCTGCGTGGAAGTTTTTTACCCGGCAGTCCAATACGTCGTAAATCATGCAACAGCTGTGGGCACAACACACAGCTCTTCAATACAGAAATTGCGCCCTGCGTCGCAAAGCAGGGCCGGGGAAGACTGCCCCTAAGCTGCGAGCTGTCGCTCAGGAAGCTAGCCGGGGGTGTCCCGGAGCTAGTCAGCTGGGCACTGACCGCTCCTGCTGTGCCCACGTCCCGTTGCCGGCGGGTCCGCCTGGTCGTCAGCCGCCATCGCGACGCGGAGGGCGACTGCCTGCTCCGCCCGGAGCGCCCCGTCGAGGCGGGTTTCCCAGTCACCGGCCGCCGCCGCCGCCGCCGCGTGGCTGGGCCGGCTCCTCGCCGTCTGGCTGTTGGCACGGCCGGGCCCGGCCGGAGCGGGCCAGCTACCGGTGCCAGACGCCCTCCTCCCCCTCCCCGCAGCGACAACACTTCGCGGATCAGCTGCGACAGGCCACAGGCAGGATGGAACCACACTTAAGTACACGCTCTGGAAGGTGGAGGCGGGGGGGGGGGGGAGGGGACAGCAATCCATTTCGAGCCTGCTTGATCGATATTGTTGACCCAAAGTCGCATCGACCAAGGGTCGGGGTGGGGGGGGGGGGGGGAGGGCGCTGAGCCCCAACTGACAAGGATCTGAGGGGACGACCAGGGGTGTGACCTGGGTCAGCTTCAGGTGGCCCGAAGTTGGGGCGCTCTGAGCCGGCGCCCCAGTGGCTCAGCGGCCGCCCACACGCGTCCTGGGCCGCAGCTCGGCGGGGCCAGGCCTCTCAGCTGCTCCCGTGCCGAAAAGGTACTGACCGTTCGGCGCCGCGGACGAACAGTGGGACCGGACGAGCAGGACAGCTGGCGCCGCGCCTTGCCGGGCTTTGTGCTGGGTCCGCCGTGCAGCGCTGACCTTCGCGTCAGCTGTGCACGGATGCACAGACATGGCGGCCAAGAGCGGCGGCACTCAACGTTCAGCTGCACTGTCGCGCGATTGTGCACGTGCCGGGAATCCGCGGGCGGCTGATGTGCACGGTCAGCAAGATCAGCGAAGGTCACGGCGATCCCAGCCCGGCCCGGCCCGGTAACCCCCGGAGCAGGTCTGCCTGTCCCCCCCCCCCGCCTCCGGTCACAAGTGGGCGCGCGGCTGGCACTCGCCAATGGGAACGGGTCCGAGCGGTGGACGATCGCTTAAGTTGGAGCTTTCTGCCGCGATGCCATTGAGCGTTCCAGGAAAAGTGGCCCAGCCGCCGGCGCCGCCAGACAGGCTCATGGGCTCGGAGTTCGCCCATGCGGCTTTAAGAGATTGAACTAGGACTGTGCCTAAAACGGAGTAAGGAGAAAACTATATTAGCTTTTCGCCACTAAACTCACACGTAGGGCACTAAACGTTTTGCCTTTCACGCACTATGCTTCGGCTGATGGGGCTGCACCGTAGCTCCATCGGTCATGACCTAACTCCCCTCCATAATGCGGTTAGGAAATAACGTTGCCGGCCTTCCGTACGTTCCACGTTAGAACCGAAGATGTATGTAAATATTGCGGCATACGGTACGACAATATTGCGGACATATGGCGGGAAGTGGCCAGTAAAAATGCAAGCTCTTTCATAGAACGAATTATATTTATGAGTTGTGATGATGGATCATGAGATGAATATCAAATATTTGCGCATGTAAAACATTTACGAATATAAACATTCGTGAATATCGAATATTTGTTAATATCATTCATCTATAAGAATGTTCATATAGACATGCCGCCGTCTGTGAGTCAAACCTGCATTTTATATGCCCCCAACACTCCTTTCGGGGGAGAAGCTGATGCTTGTTTTGTGGGCAAAATGCAGCGCAACACTGGATGCTTTCGTTTAACGCCGCTCCATGTGTTTGAATTCGGGTATACCAGTTGGACATGCTGCGCTGTGAAGTCATGTTTTTTACTTGCACTTGTAACAGGAGGAACACCGGCAGACGCGTCCTCCGGTTCTGTACAGTAATTTCTTCAGCCCGTACAACCACATTTAGTTTGTCGTCAGTTCGATACATACGTGTATAAATCGGATTTTGTTCCAAAAATTTGCTTTTTCTTTTCGGTGGGTTGCCTTTTTGGTGATTTTT